TGTGTGTGTGTGTGTGTGTGTGTGTGTGTGTGTGTGGGCAGCGATGAATTTTATGTAAGGCGGACCTGGAAATGGCAAAACACTTGGGTCTCGCTCTGTTTTCTCTCTCTCACACACACACACACACTGTACTTCTCTCACAGTTTGTGTGATTGTGTACAGTTGTGTAGTCACCCTGGCTGCAGATACACAATGGGGTGACTCTGTGGAGACGTTTAAACACTTGAAATGATTTGATTTGATGATGATGATGAAGATGATGCTGGTTGTTATATGTGAAGTTAGTTACACCTCTTCAAACTGTTTCTTCCTTTTTATTTCTACTGTTAAAATAAACCCCGTCCACCTTAACCACTGTTGCTGTGGGTATCAAGCGCTCCATTCACACACATGTGACCTTTCCAGCATTCAGGGATAGTGCTGTCGTCTTATTGAATTATTAAATACATTCAAATTCAGAAGGATTAGATAGTAAAGTCATTTTCTTATATGATCAGTTCTGAACCTAAATAAAGGGAAAACTTATCTTCAAACCTTCAGTGGAATAAATTGTGCATTAAGGTAAGAATGTGTTTTTATGGAGGCTTTGCAAGCGGTCAACAAAAAAACCAACTAAACTTAATATTAAAAAAAACAAGTTGCACTAAAATAGATAATTTAGATTCTTTGAATACAGGAAAATGTTCAGCTCAGTGATTAGACTGAAGCTTTGCAGCGTCTTCCACCACTGACGTTTTAGTTTGGTTCATGTCCCAACGTGGAGAAGGTCGGGCTATGACCTATACTGCAACCAGCCACCAGGGGGCAATACATTTATGGCTTCGCGATTTGGGAGCGTTCGTGTCGTCCTCAACTGAAAATGTTTGCTTCAGGCAATAAAACTCTATCGAGGAGCGGTTTTTAAACAGAATAATAATACTACAGTGACGTGTTGATATTTATTGATCTCGTAGATAATAAAACTATTGTCTTTGAAAGTTTCTCACTTTAGAGGCTTTAGAAATTCTTCTCATTTTGAACAGGATCCAAAAGTTCTTCCAGAGTCAGCACCAGCGAGTCCCCCGTTATTCCTCCCCCCTCTGATGCTGTTCACCCTCCACTGCTGGTGGTGGCGCAGAGACTGATGCATGCAGGGTAACTCCCCCGAGAGGAGGGGACTCTTGTGTAAAAAGTGTTATTGAATGAAAACAAGTGTCCTGTGACGGCTCGACGACGAGATCACAGCTCACATGTGACCTTTGATGCTTTGATGTGAAAAAACACAGATTATCAAAGGAAACAGAAACTTATTCAAGTGTGTGTGTGTGTGTGTGTGGGAGGGGGGTGTTTCACTGAGTGGGAATGCCTGGTAGGTTGTGGGCATGATAGGCCCAGGGTTACCATGGCAACCATCTGCTGCTACGTTTGCAATCGTTCGCCGGCGGCCCACACAGTGTGACATCCAGCAGCCAGTGTGTGTGTGTGTGTGTG